CTCACTGTTGCCCGAATGTATGTTGACCGGTCACACAGTGCAGGGCCGTTGGCACTGTCGAGGATAATTAAAAATGTGTGTGTGTGTTTGCAAAGAGGAAAAGAAAGAATGGATGTGTGCATGTGTCTGTGGGGGAATAGAAAGAAAGCTTATTACCCATCTGCCATCCAATTTCAATCTCTTTAAAACAAATGAAACATTCACAAGACCAGGGACTTTTCATTATCTCTATTCTCAGACCTAAAAGGAGCCTTTTACTGCCTCTGACTAAACACCAGCAGAAGAGGAAGTGGAGGTGAAATGGGAGGAAATGAAGAGCTAGAGGCAGAAGAAATCTGAACTTAGCAAATGGCATTTACATAGCCTTTACCATGCAGGTCACACCGCCAAACTGGAGAAAATCAGCTCATAAATGAGGCGAATTAAACAAGAAACTTGTTGCTAAGTGGAACCATTTGGATCACAGAATGTTCCACATAATCTCTAAATCATAAAGATGCGGTAATTCGTTCTCATGCTTGAAACATCATTCCCGAGGTGCCTTGTCATCTTAAAAAAGGAACATGGTGAGCTCTGACACCACCGAGCAGCGCAGTTAGTCGTAGTGCGCCGTTGCTCAATCTCCTGTGGGTTGTTGGTAGCATTAGCATGCTGAGGGCTCCCTACAAAACTTCCTGTCCTGAGGTCACATCTAAATGGAAGAGATTTGAGAAGAGGAGTCTGGGTCTTGGAGAAGGTCATCGCCATTAATCATGCCAGAGTCTCTTTACTGCCAGTCCCAGATAGCATCATTGATTGAGGCCAGTGATTAATTCCCCGGTAAAGCAGGTGGAACTTGTGAAATCACATCTTTAATTTGTTTCTAATCACTGCCTGGATGGTCACATGGCAACCAGGACTCATGAAAAAGGATGAATGTCTTCCTTGTGATATTTAAAAGTCTGTGTTCTGATTCATAGGGTCCCTGAGGATTGTTCAATTATTTCAACATGCTAAAAAGGAGATATCTAGAAAACTTGATTTGTGCATGCTTTGTAGTCTGTGCACTAAAGGTAGGGAATTTCACTGACTTCTGCAGGTTGTATTGTTATGCCAGTAGGTGGCGACAAGTGATTGTCTTTATGAGAAAGTCATTTGAATCATTTATGCCGAGTTCCCACTGCACGATTTTAGCAAGATTTTTCACTCGCCGACAGGTTTTGTGAAATCGCCGACAAATACCCGAAATCGGAGGCAAATTGGTGCTCGTTCACGCGAGTGACAATCACGCAGTGTGAATTATCAAAGACGCGATCTGAGGGAGTCGCCGACGCCCATGAAATATTTGGCATGCTAAATATCTGGAGCTGTCGGCGATTCACAATCACGCTGTGTGAAATGAGTTCTGACTGAAAAACACATTGGCGATGACCTACAGGCTACAGCCAATGAGAGACCAAGATACAGGGCAGCGGGAAGTTCGGGGAGGAGTTATAAGACCAGTGTTGCCAAATCCGCGATTTCCGCCGGTTGTTTTTTATGTCAGCAGGTTGAAGCGACCCCAATAATGTGATATTTAGGCCCTGGAATTGGAATTGTACCAGGAAAACCTCACCCAAAAAAATTTGTATTTTACCCCCCAAACGTGATTTTACTGGGGGACCCCCTCGAAAGCAATTGGGCTATTTTCAGGCTAGTTTTGAGTAGTAATTGGGCAGGTTTTGTAGCGAAAACCTGGCAACCCTGCACCAGACAGAGCTGTCGGCGATTCACAGTACACTCTTAAAAATAAAGGTGCTTCAAAAGGTTCTTCAAGCGATGCCATAGAAGAACCATTTTTGGTTCCACAAAGAACCATTCAGTCAAAGGTTCTTTAGAGAACCATCTCTTTCTTACCTTTTTATAATCTGAAGAACCTTCTTTCGCCACAAAGAACCTTTTGTGAAACAGAAAGGTTCTTCAGATGTTAAAGGTTCTTTATGGAACCATTTAGACAAAAAGGTTCTTCTATGGCATCGTGAAGCACCTTTATTTTTAAGAGTGTATTGTAAAGTCATGCAGTGTGTAACCTCCTGTCGTCGTTCCATCGTGCAGTGTGAAACCGCAACATCTGAATGCTACCGCAGATAGTCGTTCAGTGTGAAACCAACAGTGATGCGACGTCTTTGAAAATCGTGCAGCGTGAACTCGGCATTACTGAACCAAATCGTTCAACAACACTGGTTCATTCAGGTATGAATCAAGACTGTCTTTATGAGGGAGCATAGCTTCATTCAAGAACACTTCAGAAACTCACCAGATGTAGTAGGTACTCATCCAGGTACTTTTTGCCAACTCTTTCATGAGTACTGTGAATTCAGAGGTACTTCTTTTCTCACATACTGTTTTTTGCCTTCTATATAGCATAGAAGTATGAGAAGTGTTTTGTATGCAGCCATTGATTCATTCAACAACATCTATTAATTCAAGAATGAAACAAGCAAGTTGGCTTTATGAGCGAATTATTGAATCATTTCACAAACCAATTTGTTCAAAAACGCTCATTCAAGAAGGAAACAAGTGATTGCCTTTTAGTTAGTCACTAAATCAACTGATTCATTCAACAACACTGATTTATTCAGGGATGCCACCGTTGTATGTTGCTTGAGACATGCAACTTTTAATTATGCTTTCAATAATAGATAATATCCGTGTGTATTCATATGTATTTAAAAAAAATGTCAACACTGAAGTAAGCTATGTCCTGTTAATGTGTGATTTTATTAGTTGATATAGGTAAATAACTGTTACAGTGCAGTAAACGGTGAAACTATTTGTTACAAACCAGTGTCATTGTCATGTCGATATGTTCACTGAATATAAACCTAACAGACCACTCAGATCATTAGGATCGAGTCAGTTAGAAATACCGAGGGTTCACACAAAACAAGGGGAATGTGCTTTTAGTTATTATGCCACCCGCAGTTGGAATCAGCTTCCAGAAGAGATCAGATGTGCTAAAACATTAGTCACATTTAAATGCAGACTCAAAACTCATCTGTTTAGCTGTGCATTTATTGAATGAGCACTGTGCGATGTCCGAACTGATTGCACTATATTATATGTATAATCGTTTTCTTAAATTCATTATAAACCTCTTTTTAAATAATTTTCAAAGTTTTTAAATTCCTTGTTTTATTGTTGTGATTATTGTTTTTATTTTATTTTATGTAAAGCACTTTGAATTACCATTGTGTATGAAATGTGCTATACAAATAAACTTGCCTTGCCTATTGTTACAAATTACTATAATACATCAAAATAATATGACAATAAATACCAGTATGCAAAATAAGGCAGCATAACAGCTTTGTACAGCTAATATAACTAAGCATGAGAAACTGAAGCCTTGCACATACTCGTTAAAACTAAGGTGGATAAGAAATGTTCTGTAATATTAGTGATAAGTGACTGTTGTGATGTTGTTATGTGAAAAATGTGATTTTATGTAGGTCTCTTCTTAATTGTTATGTAACCCATTCTCTTGTAGGGGTTTAGCCAAATGAATGTAGTAATAATGGCTCATGGGTAAATTTCCCTCTTTGTATCCTGTCATTTTTTTTATATATTGTTGATCCATATGGCATTTGCTGTGTCTTTCAGACTGAGCATAAAAAGTCCACTGGATGATGATACTCACTTGACCAAATACCATCTGAAGTCCACTTTGCAGGGCACTCTCAGGTGAATGCAACACATACCCCAATATAAACTTCAGTTTTTCCCTGCATCCCCTCTGCTTTTCCTTTGAATTAACTCTGTCTCACATCACATCTAAATATGCAAGAACTGAAAAGAGCATCAGAAATGCCAGTCGAGCAGTGTAATTTTCTAGAATGAACTGTTGATCTGATTACAAGAGGGATTTTGACAAGTGAATATAATGAATGTTTTGTTTGTTTGTTCTAACCCTTCTATATGACTGCATTTCCCCATAGAAAAACAGCCAGTCATCTTCAATGTCCTTCTTTTACGACGCAAGATGGAAAATGTCTACATTTGCACAAATATGAAATCTCATGCTCTTTAAATTATTCATGCGTTGAGAGGCAAACTAACCTGACACACTTCTTCCATTCTCCAAACTCTCTTTAGAGGGAAAGTAGGGTAAATTGGGTTGTTAGAAGAAAAGACAAAGATTTTATACAGTTTTATACAGAAAAACTTGATAAATTGCAAATATACTGCATTCTGGGTTTAGTCCATAAAATTGTCCTATTGTTCTCAACTGGTGGGTTGTGACCCAAAAATGCATTGCATATTTCTTTTGAATTGGTTGCAAGTAAAATGCAACTGTATAATTATACATCGTTAGGATTGCAAAATAAATGCATTGCTTTTAACCATCATGTTGTATTCTAGTCATTTTGACCCAGAGAGGAATTTCTTTTTCCTAAAAATGCTAATTAATGTTATTGCATTAGAAAAAAACTTGCCGACTTTGCTCACACATGAAAACTTCCCCGTCATATTTATGCAGAAATAAAGAAAATTCTAAAGGGTTCACAAACCTTCAAGCATGTGTACACGTTTGTCTAAATTTGTAATTTTAAGATGTAGAATTGCAGAATTTCTCTATTATGACTATTTAGCTTCCCCTCAAATACATTTATAAAATTCCAAAGAAAAGAAAAAAACACTGCACTTTCTTTTTCCATAAAAGCCTAAAAAAAATTATTTTAATTAAATTGATTTTATGTTAACGTTTTCTATAATAAAGAACTATAATGGTCGTCATGAACACGTGACAGAGGAACCCAATCATCAACAGAGGGACAGTTTGAAGATCATAGCCTAAATTGTATTTATTTGAGAATTTGCTAAAACATCCATTTCTATTTAGTTTTTCGCATTCACAGTTAATCAGCAAACACGTTGTGTTAACTGAGCTGAAGAATCACCCGTATGTGTTTACATGAAGGTGACAGCAGCGCGTCAATCAAAGCGGCATTGTATGAATTCGAAAGTGGGCGTGTGCGGGGGCTCATGACGTCAACGTCAGACAGCTCTCAGCGCGTTCGATCGCCGCGAGCGTTTCAAAGTTTCAATGGCTAGTGATTTAAAGCGTCGATTCCGCGGTCGCTCCGCGCTATATGGGACCATTTAAAAGGCTGTGTTATTTTGGCGTGAAAAAGAATCGTTCCTACGCAGTGACCTTTTGGTGCTCGAATGCATAATATCGCGTAGGAGTCGCTGTGTGTGCGGTGAACGTTTGCTCTCTGCCTGTTTTCTTTCATCGCTAAATGGAGTCACGGATGGAATTCAGTCGAGAAGAAATCAACGGTACGGTATGGGAAGTTCCGGAAAAGTACGTTTGCTTGAAGCAGATCGGAACGGGCGCTTATGGCAGCGTGTGGTGAGTAGACGCTTGCGAACTGCCTTTCAACATGTTGCCACATTAAGCAGAACTATGTGGCAAGCCGCTTTAGCATTCATTGCTTCCAACTAACTAGAATTTAGTTAGTAGTAATAGTGACTAGACTAAATTCTGTTCGTTAGTATTACTTAGGTTTGCAACTAGTCACTATTACAATACTGACAAGTAGGTATTCCATACTTACTCTTTAATTACTCATAAATAAATAGTTAAAGGGATAGTTCACCCAAAAATTTAACTTTGATGTTTATCTGCTTACCCGCAGGGCATACAAGATGTAGGTGACTTTGTTTCTTCAGTAGAACACAAATGAAGATTTTTAACTCAAAGAGTTGCAGTCTGTCAGTCATATAATGGACGTGAATGTGAATCAAGGCTTTGAGAGTCAAATAGACATACTCAAACAAAACCAAATTAAACCCTGCGGCTCGTGACGATACATTGATGTGTAAAGACACGAAACGAACGGTATGTGCAAGAAACTGAACAGTATTTATATAGTTTTACCTCTGATTCAGCGCAAAGTCTGAACTGTCCTGAGCGTGTTCTCAACAGCCCACGCGTCTACTTCTTGCTTTACGGTGGACTTAAGTGCATTACCGCCACCTATCTCTCAAATGGACCAGTGACACTCTATCTACAATCTCAATTAGGAGTGTCAATGGTCCATTTGAGATATAGGTGGCGGTAATTAGAGATCGACCAATATATCGATTTACCCGATATTTAAACATTTTACCATAATCGGTTATCAGTTTTGTAATATCAGATTCACCGATAAACGCCGCTATCTTGACAACAACAGCGTGCATTGGTAAAGCATACGCACTTGCTTTGCTGTAATTAGTAAACTTCATAAAAGCCAATAATGCACATATTAGATGTTACATAAATGCCTGAAATGTAGCTAGTTTATGCAGCTTGTCTCGAAGAAATAGAGACGAGTCACGTAAGATAATCCGTCAAGTCCTGTCCCAATAAAGACGTAACTTTGCCTGAATTAAATAATATACAGCCATGAATGAGCGCATGTTGGAAATAAAAGCGCTGAATTTAATTCTCTCTCTGTTGTCTATGCTCATCATTAGTCTCGTGAAGGCGTCTACATTTTGCTGTTCACTCACAGGACACAGGTTGATGCTCAGGAAATGCTCCAGCACGGCCACCGCATGTAACTTTTAACAAGATTCACTTGTTTAAAACACCCTAAATTATATTAACATTTACTATATAACCATTATTTCGCTAATATACATCTAAATAAATACAACTCTATGGAAATTAATTATTATCTCCGCGAGCGATCACAGGTCGAGTATAGTTCTGTGTAAATGCATAGATAAACAGCGCTTTGTCAGCACGCATTTCATAATTTAGAACGACAAAAACATTAGTAGTTCTGATATAACATACCAGTTGAGAAATGCAATAAAATACGATGTTTTGTTTGTTATATTCCAATATTCCAGAGAATATTATTCAGTGAATTAAC